GAACCAACAGTAGCAAAAAGAAAGCAGGTATCCCCTAGTGGGGATTTAAAGATGTTTAGACATAATTGGATTTTCCAAGCAGATGTCATTATTGTTAAACAGTTGCCCGCTTGATATGTTCAAGTTGTTGGCTGTAATTGCTAAAATTAGCAGGTCTGCTCAGAGCAAAGGTCAGTTGCTTAACATCATGATTTAGTAGTTTGTGGAGTAATTTCAAATGCTTTTATGTATTCTTCTATTTTTTTTTTAAAAAAAAAATCTGGTTTGCGTTTTACAGCCCAAAAGCTTTTTAAAGTAGCTTTGGGCTGTTAATAAAATAATAGCTTAGGCTGTCTAGGCAAACTGCTGCTGACACTCAGCGGGCAAAGTGCATTTGAGCCAAATTGGTTTTATGTATTTTTAAAAAGTCTCAGCACAACAAAGACCTCACATTTCACTTTGGGGCCCAAGGTTGTTTTACTGAGGCTTCTTTGCACGAGAGGCAGCTGCTTCTTTTCTCCCTGTGTGCCCTTGTGACCATCCACAGGATCAGAACTCACTTAGAGACATGTCCGATGTCACTGCTGGCCTAACACAGGTTGCTATTCGGAGGCAAAGGGGAAGATGATGCCTTCTTTCCAGTTGACCTATAGAAGATGACTGGACTTGTGCCTGAATCCTCCTTCCCCGATAGCCATGCAATATTTTTTCTATTACACCTGAGCAGAGCTTGGAAACAACATGTTAAAGTTAACATGTTAAAAAGAAATTCTCTCAAATGCAAGGCAAAAGCACTACTTTATCTTAACACTTAAAAAATAATGGTTTAAAATAAAAGTTAATGTTTCTCATATGGCATAAAATAGGTACCTTTGCTCCATTTGTGGGTCCACGTGCTTGCTTACTCCCTGGTAACTGAGTATAGTAGATAAATTTAAGTCAGACAGCATAGTAGACTAGAGTGCATTTCATAGCATCAAGATACAACAAAACAAGCCATAGATGTAAATTTTCATAAACTTATTCCTAGAAGTGCCAGAAGATTTTGTTCTTACAGCAACACAGCCAGTAGATGAAATACTTCGATGTCCAAAGATAAATTTAGGGGAGGGGCCATCCAAATAATTTTAGTTTACTTACTCTTCCACTGGCCAGTTTTGCTCCAAATGCAGGCTTTGAAAGTGTATCTCAGACCACATTATGTGTGGATGACTGGAAGCCAGTTCTTTTCAGTTACGTGAATGTCCCATGGAAGTGGTGGGTGTGGCAAGAAATTCTGCACCCTGTGAGAAGTAAGATTGGAGCTGCTGAGTAGCCTTTTATTAAGGTTACGTTTTTCAAGCAAATTTTCTCTAGCGTTCTGGTAAAGAAACACATTTGATATTGGTCAAATAAATTATTTATGGGCCAGTAACAAAGGAAGAGGCTGTGTGGTCCTTGTACATGGGTGGATGGCACCTTTATTAGACCACTAATATCCGGCCCACAGAGGCTAGCTTTGAACTCCACATGAGTCTTCATCAGGCTGGGTGTGATGCAACTGGGGATCATAGAGAAAAAACATGAAAACTCTAAAATCCTTGGCCAGGGTCTTTGTTTAGAAGCAAGCTCCACAACGAGGAGCTACCGGATGAAGTGCACCCATATTAGCACAAGAATCTGTTGTGCATGCATTTGTAGAACTGAGTTGCAGCCCAGTACCTCATCAGTTAGTTGCCATTACTCACACCATGTTTTGCAAACCCGACATGGACACCAATAAGACACTAGCCAGGAATATATATACTCTTAGGGATCAATGGTGACAACTTGCATGCCGTTCGCTGGAAACTCCGTCTATTGAAAAACTAATAATTTAATTAATTAATAACATAATTCAACAAATTAAATGCTTTCAGAGCCAATCATTGACAGCAATATGTCCACATTTCTAATGTTTAACCCCAGTGAATCAATTTTGAGACCTGGCATTCTAACCTTTGCACTGGAGGCAGAAGGCTGGTGTTAGGGGTAGCAGATCGGGTTGTATGGCATAGACAACTTTGTCCACAAAACATGTGGAAAGCTAGTACTGCTGCCCCTTGGATCTGCCACCTGAGACAGTTGCTTCAGTCTTGTAAGTGAGAGCCAGCCTTAAAAGGTGTGAATCAGGTCTCAGCTGGTGCTATCCTAGTACAATTTCCAGGACTGCAGGACCTCCTGAAATAATCTGTGAAAATTCAAATAACTTTTTCACATCATCTTTGTACTCAGGGATGAGCAGAAAGGCTTTGCAGAAGGAGAAAAATGCAGTTGAGAGACTTCCTCTGGCTTCCAGCATCTCTCTCTCTCTCTTTCCTCCTCCCCCTCCCCACTCTCATGTCATCTGGATGCAGCTAAGTACAGGCATTGTCTTATTGACTCTTTTTGATTGACATATTAGCACAAGGAGCTGCCTTTGGCCTCTGTAATATTTAGGTGCAGATACTTAGTGTCATGTTCCCAGATAAGAAATAACAAACTTAGTAAACTGCGTCTCCTTTATTGGATGTCACTGATTCAGGAGAAGATACTATTTTACAGTGCTGGCATCTTTTTCAAAAATGAAGGATGCAGGTGTCTTGAAGTATCAAAACTTTTGGAACCAAACCCAACCAACTAGTGTCTAATGTTCATGTTCTTTAATGACTAGATGTCTGTACATCTCTTGTATGTAGGGATGCCCCATAGAACCGTGATAGGTCAGGGATTCTGAGAGTTGTAGTCAGAGAGAGAGAGAGAGAGAGAGCAAGGGGGTGGGAAGAGAAACTTTCCCCAGCTCTGGCATTGGGAAGGGCATTTGGACTTTATCATGGACTTCTTTCCAACTACAGGACTGAAACTATAGTTGCAATGTTACTTATCTATCACATGCTGGTTGAGTGTTCCCCAAGTTCTGCGGATATAAGAGAAATTCTCCCCTCCCTGTACACATTTTCTGTGGGGCTAAATACGGCAACAAGACATAAATGTAATGTATTATTTGGCCTGAATAATTGTAGTTGGCATCTGTTGTTTTTTTTCACGGAAAAGTTTAGTAGAAATACCTTTTTATGACCAAAATCAAATATTTATTCCCATTTGGAATAGAGCCATTGAATCAACAGGGCTTTGGCGAGTCAATACTTACTTAATATAGTATGTGTTGATTCAATGAATCTGCTCTAGCTGGGAATAACCATTGGGAACCATACACGAATCAGTGATCTACTGCTAGATGCGGACAGCGTTTTCTAATGTAGGTACTGTTACTCTGTCTCATCCAATATTGCTTTATTCTCACAGGTAGGAGCTCTTTAGGACTGCAGGCAAAGATCCGCTCAAATCATACTGTCTGAAATCCTTTCAACTGGAGATGTGTGACAATTGAACCAGAGCCATCTGCATTTGAAGTACGTACTGTATGGACTTTATCCTAGAGCAATAGGTTGTTAGGCCTTCCTACCTCATGTGTACATCTATGAAATGTTCTCTCCCCCCCTCCTTTTTTGCATTTTCATGTGATTTTAAAATTCCACAATAAACGTTTTGTTCTTTACACCTATAAAGTAATGCCGATTAGCCCATTCAGTACGGTACACTGCAACTTGTAGGCAAAAGGCTGCTAGGCCATAAACCTCTGTGGGTGATCTTCAGCAAGCCATGATAATAGCCCAGCTATAGTCCAGGCCAGAAATGGAGAATCTTTGAGCCATCCAGGTGTTGTGATCTACACTTCCTACAATCACTAACCATTGGTTGCCTTGGGCTTCAGGAAGTTAAAGCATGAAACACTTGGAAAGCCAGTGATGTAGTTTTCCTACATCAAGCCTATTTCCTATCAGATACATCTTATTTGCTCTGCTTAATTTTTCCAATTATCCTTCATTTTTTTATATATGATCCCATTGCTGATATTCCATGACATGCCCTAATTCACTGAGTTTTTATTAAGGTCTATGTTGTTCTTTTTCTAAAAAAATCTGTTGTGTTCCTTTAAAAAAAGAGAGAGAAATTCTATAATTTATGCTAGGGATGAGTGAAAGGTACATTGATATCTACTGATACTTCTGTGATATAAATAGATCAGTATGGATTTCTGACTCTCAGTCCTTCAGCAATGGCCATTACAAATGACCTCCCCTCCATCAGAACCATTTTCAGCTATCATTTTAATGGATGTCTTTAGGGTCATAAGTGTTACCTGCATTCTGTTCTATGCCATTGTTGACTCAACTGTTTAGGCTCAAGTCCTCAAACCCTTCCCTCAGATGTATTTTCATTAAAATCTCTCAGAAGTTAGGCTACACTTGGGTTTGAGTTTAGAGGATTACAACCTTTAGTGCCACAGGTGATGGTATTAACCTACAAGGCCTTAAAGGGTTTGGGACGATATCTGGCCAAGTGCCTCCTTCCAGTTAGGTCTGCCCATCTAATAAGATCATCACAAGCAGGGCGCCTGAGAGTTTTGACCCCGAGAGAGCCCCGGAAAACAACCACCAGAAATTGGGCCTTCTCGGCAGTTGCCCCACAATTCTGGAATACCCTCCCGCTTGAAGTTCGCCTTCGCTCCCTCACTAGGCACCTTTAAAAAGTTATTAAAGACCTCAATGTTCAGACATGCTTTCCCAGAGAAAATAATTACCGATGCAACAATATATCCAATAATGTACTAATTTATATGCCACATATTTTATGCTGTCAATTATATTAATTGTATGTATTGTGGGTTTTTTTCACTTTATCCTTCACTTTATTTTTATTTTAATTTGCTCTTTAACTTTTTTGTATTATTTTGTTATTTTATGGTTTTGTTACTGTTGTTAACCACCCAGAGTGGCCCTAGCTGCCAATTGGGTGGTATATAAATCAAATAAATACAGTAAATAAAAACATCCACAGACCAAATACCCTGTTGAGATCACGTGGGCTTCCTCAATACAAATTTGGTGTTAGTAGGAAGAAACTACACACCTTGACATCACAACTATAGTTTAACATTGCTCTAAGTAATTCAGAAGTCATTTCCAAACACATCTTGAACTCAGTGAGTTTATTAGTTGGATTCCGTTTTTACGGACCAAGAGTCCATTTAAGATTGCTGAAGCAGTTTGTTATTGCTTTTTGAACAGACACGAGGAGAGCATTTCACTAGCATTTCAACTGCTCTTTTCCATTTACTCTTACGGACTTCAGTTGACCATCCTCCTCGATTTCAACTCTTTCTTGCCCATTCACAACAATTTTTCGTGTGGTGATTCTTCGTCCATTGATCACTTCGGTAGAAGTCGAAATAGACCTGATGTTATGTGATTCACTGCTGTCGTCTCCAAAAGACCCACCTGAGAACACTCTGTGGACACCAGACCCAAGTGCATTGAATCCAAAATTGGCAAAGGCACCAAGTCCTGAAAAGAGACTTGTGGGTTCCCTTCTGCTTTCCCCTCCACTGTTGTCATCTTCCAATTGGTTGTCCCAAAAGTCAGTATCAAAGATGCCCATTCCTTCAAAAAACTCCCTGAAGATCTCCTCAGGACTGCGGAATACAAAGTCGAAATCAAATGGGTGGTGAAAGTGTCCCTCAGATGGTCCTCTCCCTCTGTACCTTGGCTCTTTGACAGGCCTGTCATAGAGAGAACGTTTCTGAGGGTCTGACAGAACTTCATAGGCCTCAGAAACTGTCTTGAATTTCTTCTCAGCTTCTTCCTTGTTATAAGGGTTCTTGTCAGGATGCCATTTTAATGCCAACTTGCGGTAGGCCTTCTTGATATCTTCTTGTGAGGCATTTTGATGCAGCCCTAGGACTTGGTAATAATTAACCATCCCAAAGGAAAAGGTAGCTGGATTTGGAGACTATTTATTGGGTTTTCCCTGGGGACGCAAGGTCCTTTGCAGTTTGGATCCAGTGGATCCAGTTGTTTCAGTTGTAGCACTTCTTTTCTCACAGTCCAGTTTTGGTGCCAAAGGAAAAGAGAAATGCTGCTTCCTCATAATGTTGCATTTCAAGACTCATGCTGCTAAGTAGTATTGTGAGGTCAGAAACACCTCAACCAATCAAGGCTCAGTAAAGGTTGCTTTCATCTGAGATACACTGCAGTCCTATTGGTGAGACCGTTGTGCAAATTAGCTCCATTGATAGGTCATATTTCACATCTGTGATGCAACCTGTTACAAATGCCTTTTAGAGGAGGCACTTTCCTGGAAAATTAGACCATTAAAAACATCTGAGGCTGGGATAAGCAACCCAGTGTGGCTACTTAATTCCCAATTATTACGGGAGCTGTAACTTAAAATATAGGACCGGATAACCTGCCCCTCATCTCAGCCATGCCAGCCCTAATCCAGTGGAAGGAGGTCATTCTTCCTGTTCCAGTTAATGAAGAGGCAAAAATTTTGTTCCCAAAACTGAGTTGTAGAAGACAACTACTATTCCATTAGCGTTCTTTTTTTAAAAAAAAATGTGTTTGTAAGTTGCACTGGCCATGTGACCACGGAAGATTGTCTTCAGACAAAACGCTGGCTCTATGGCTTGGAAACGGGGATGAGCACCGCCCACTAGAGTCGGACACGACTGGACAGAAATTGTCAAGGGGAACCTTTACCTTTACTATGCATCTAATACTATCAGAGCAAATACATTTGTAAAAGATGGGTGTAAAAAGGCTGCTTAAATGCCTAATCAAATGTAAGAACATCCCAATAGTGCCACTAGTGCTGCTTGTCCTGGTATGAACACCCCTTCCACATATTCAAATGATGCTTAGGTGATCTTATGCACTCATTTGAAAGTTTCTACTGTAAACTGCAAGCATAGTAAATTAAGTAGGTCCCTACCAGAAGCATGAGCAAGAAGCTACCCCTGGCATATGTCAGTTCCACAGACATTTCAGCCTATTGATATGGTTGGATACAAAAAGGCAAGGCCAGGGGGATGGAAGATCTTGTGCAAAGGGTTGCAAGGAGCACATTGGCTGTTTGTCATCCTCATGGACACCTTCAGCCTCAGTTCAGTCCTGCTATTTGGGTCTGCCAAGAGCCTTGCTTGCCAACTGGATCTGTCTGTCTTGGGTTTAGGTCACTGACCCTATGCAATGTATGTGTGTATTATTCTCACTCAGGGCATTGATCAATGTCTGTTTCCAAGGGGCTTCAGCAGGCGCTGGAGATTATCAGCCATTTCTATGCTAGAAGGGCTGGAGCCCCTGTATCTGTGTGTGTGTGTGTGTGTGTG